AAGTGCCAGAACTCTCCATGTGTTTCAAATTACACTACAGCACTGTACAACAAAGAAATATGCAGAAATTTTCCACTTAAAATGAAGGTTAAAAACTAAATGCTAGCAAAGCTCTAACAGATATGAAATCCAACCTCCTCATCTGAATTCAAAATTTAAAATCACTGAGCTGTGCTACGCTAAAAAAAGGAATGAATCAACCCAGTTGTTCCTTATAAAAAGTAGTGGGCTACCACACGGTCATTGTATGAACAGACTTACACAGCACGCTGATTTTGCTTCAGTACTTACCCTCAACTTTTAAAATAACAATTTGCTTAGATTGAACTTTTAATTTATCAAAGTATATTACCCACCCTTATTAGATTAGTGTTCACCACTGAACTTCATTTTTGCATCATATTTAAACAAAACACTAATTAACTGAAGTGCTCCTAACAATGCGGTTATATGTAAAAACAAGTTGATGGATCAAAGGGAAGTCACATTTTTGCCTAAAGAAAAGCAAAGATTGTTGGAGCAAACTCAATTTTTTATATACACATGTATACATTCAGAATGTATCTCTCCAAGAACGTTAAGTAGGCAAACACAATTTAATCTGAAGCAGCCCAGGCTTGACTTGATTAAAAAGTCTGCAAAAAAGTTCTCTCTTAAGGCAGAGAATTTTTAACTGGAGCGCAAACAGAAATTTTTACTCTTACTTCTAAATTACCTCTATTTTGTGAGGATAGCGAGAATCAGACTGGTGCTGTGTCAAGAGCACGACCCACTTTGGATTACAGGAGACTGTTTCTAAACTTCGAGACCTGAAGTTGACGCATCTTTACCCAAAACATTAATCACATAAGCAGATTTTCCATTTACTGTCAGTTTTTAAATCACTTGTGTAGGGCTCTTCCACAGCGGTAAATACTTGGGGTGAGAACACTGGGTGGCCACTCCTGCTAGCTGTACGTACTTACAATTAACACCAGGAACGTCTTTACATTTTTCAGGACCTCAAACAAACACCATCTTGATCCTCAGGGGTTGTTTTTGTTTTTTAATCAAAACTATATAACAAACATATATTTTTAAAACAACAAACTAATTTCCATCCCCATCCTGTTTTGGTCTTTCACTACTTGGCCTGTCAGAGTTTGTTGTATTTTTCATTCCTTTTGTTTTGCAGTAAGAAATCTCCAGACTTCCAACCACACAAATTCATTGTGCTCAGCTGAAATATTGGAGGGAAAAGGAGAAGGGAAA